TATTAGTAAAAGCCTACCATGACAGCAAGTGAACAAATGACCCTTTAATCAACAGAAATGTGCCTTTCTAATTTAATTTTGTAATACTGAAAGTCACATCACAACATCACCCCTCTTTAAAGGTAATTCTCCCTCTCTTAAGACTAATCATTTAATCTAATCGGAGTAAAATGGAGCATGCTTAAACATAAATATGGTTTAGTTGAAGTTGTATTAACTATATTCTATTTTATTTTGTGCAGCACTTAAAATGTAAACACATTAGTGTGTTTGTCTGATCAATGGTCACTGACTATTATGAGTAACATTACTGTGGCTGACCCTGTGAAAAGTGAGCCTGAAGTGTCCCTTCCACTATCAGCTGATCTGAATCAACAACAACAAAATGTCAGAGTTGACATCATGACAGTGACGTGTGTTGGTTTGTGCAGGCATAGATTTTCATGTTTTATATGTAAATGTATAATCTTGAATACAATTTAAAAAAAATCTGTTTATTTTAACTTGAAGTGAATTGATATGTTGACTTATTTGTTAGTTATTATTTAGTCATGTGGCTATTTGCTTCTAAAAAGTACTTTGACTTTAAAAGCTTTATTTATGTTATATATTTAAATATCCAAATTCTGATTTTAAATCCACTACAACTAATGATAATCACAACTTTTACCTTGATCAACACAGCGGTCCTATGGACAGGTTCTCATGCACTTTGAAAATGAACTCCGGCCTAATGAAGATGTTCTGCGTCAGCACTAATGAAAGGCTGCATTACCCAGAAATCCCAGCAGAGGGCGACTGTAACTTACAGTGTGGTTGTTCAGCTGCAATGATGTGTCCACTGGCAGAGGTCTTTTTTTTTTTATCATGCACTACAGTGATTGTTGTGCAGCTTAAGAACTAAAGACATACTGCACACTGCATTGGCTTTTCTATACTCCGTCTTTGATTATTGTGAATTTAAAAGACAGTCTAAGCCGCGCTGATAACTTCTGCACAAGTATTTTTTCAGAATTTTAAATTATTCCACATCCGACTATCTCATGAAGTACAGTAGAACCCCAAACTACCACTTGGAAAATAAAAAATCCAGCACTCTTCTCTTGAAAGGCATTACCAATTTATTAGTAAAAAAATACAACTTCTCGGTCCCTTTGAACCTCTGTCAAGTGTGTTCTTACAAACACACCTTGCAAGAATAGTCTGCAGGATTTTATCTTTTTTTAAATATGGCCGTAAAAGTGCACATAGATTTTTACAAACCATTTACATAGAGTCTTTTCTTTTTAACCAGGCCTTTAATCACAGGCCTTTTAATAGCCTTTTTCATCAGCTACAGGGGGGTCTGGTGGTCTAAGACGTCCAAGGGGAGCATTCCAGGGGGCATCTCTTTGGTGGCACAAAGACATGCTGGGGGGTATATCTTTGCTGCAACACAGGGGGTACCCCACAGTCTAAGAAACACTGCATTAGTGAAATGTATCCAAAGGCCTCTTGGCTTTAACCGCAGTTTCTGCTCTACATATGGCGTCCTTGGATGAAAAAAAGTTTGATCCAAGATGTCTCATACTAAAGATTTAATATACATCCTACACCCCCCCTATACATTAGTGAAAGACAAAAGGAGGTACTCCACTTTCTCCCCCCCCTCTGTTCCTCCTCCCCTCTGCACATGGCGCCCCCTCCTTCTACTGTTTCTCCTCAAGTCCCTTTCTGCCATAAATATCCCCCTCAGTCTGTGCTATTGAATCATAAATCATAAATTCCCTTCCTGTACCTCTCTCTCTCTCTCTCTCTCTCTCTCTCTCTCTCCCTTGCTCTCCCTTGCTTTTTTTTTTTTATTGCACAATAGCCCAGACTTGATGTCAGAGGGTAGTTCATGTATAATGCGTGTGTGTGTGTATGTGGACGCGTGTGTGCATGTGTGTTTCTTCAAACTCCGGCCTTTCCTGTGGCTCTGTATCCCCACCCCAGGCTTTACTTGGTGGGTTTGTCAAAAGGCACATTACAACACAAACCCTGGAACATATAACACACACCATCATCCACATGAGCAGGAAGAGGCACATCAGCACACACTCAGATACAATATAGTCCGTATTACATTCTGTACAAACTCTTTACCCCTGCGTGCCCACAGATCTCTCTGTTCAAACGGACCACTGAGAGGCTGCACACACCCCCGATGACAAACAGACCCTTCAGTCCACCCAGCTGTAACACAGACTGATGGTGAAAATATTTCTGCTCAATATTTGTTCAGCTAAGATGAAAGAAAACAAGATGTCACTAAATACATGCAGACTTCTTCTTTTTTTAAATCACTCCACCCTCAAATGGTGAAGCCTAGTTTCATAAAAAAAATTAAAAAATTAAGAAAGATTAGTTATGTTGTCCAGGCTGTAGCTTTGTTGGAGCCAGTTAGCTTAGCATAAGTACTGGAAACAGCTTAGCCTGCACTAAAACAACACCCCTTAAAGTATGTGTTGTGTTTTATTTGCTTAATTCATACAACAACTCTACATATTTCCTAAAATTGTGTGTAAAAGGAAAAGTTAATTTCTTCCTCGTGTCTGTGAGGATTGATTCAAAGCCAGCTGTTTAGCTTGGCACAAATGTTTTTTATTGAGTAATCAGTCAGTTTAAGGCGGTCTGGGTGTTTTTTTGTTGAACACAACGAAGCAACTGTAACTGTAACTGTAAGTGTTGTATTTACAGATGGCAGTGATGAGGCTCGAAGGGGCGTGTGAAATCAACAGTGTGGCATTTGATGCAATCTTAGGTGAAGTAACAGGTTCTCATTCAGGTTGCGGATTAGATTGAGGTCTATTTTGAGGAGCTGGAGGAACAACAGTGTGTGTGTGTGTGTGTGTGTGTGTATGCGTTTGCATGCAAGCCTTGCATGTGAATGTTATGGGTGTGTTTCCGTTGCTCGAGGACTTCCAGGGTCCCAGAGATAATGTGGAATTCATGAGAGGAATGCCGCACAGGGGTTCCTTCCTGTCACCTGACTCCACCTCTTTCCTTTGGTAGAACTTCCTGCGTCTGGACCTCCGAGGAGAAGGGTGAAGCTGCACCCAACGCTCAGGTCAAGATCATGGTGTACGGGTCCTGCAGCCGCGGAGGAGCTTGTTTTATGGTGACACGACAGCAGCTCCAGTTAACTATGTGAACAGTTACCAAGTGATAGAAAAGTGGTTGAAATGCTGCGAACTGACTGTTAATGTTAGTTATTACATGATTAAATGAAGCAATTAAACACAGACAGGGTATCAAAGGAAACTGAATGAACAGTGAAGGATGCGAGAGCCTATAAAAAGAGAGAAGGGACTGATGTAGAAGAACAATAAAAGAGGCAATAAGGCGAAAGAAAGCAGGAGAGAGGTGATGGCAGGATCCATATGGGGCCTCATCTGTTTTTTGGGCAGCAAGGGGAGACATGCCAGGTAATGGCTTCCAGACACACACACACACACACACACACACACACACACACACACACACACACACACACACACACACACACATGCACCCTAATTCGATTTGGAAATCTGACAGGACAAGGAGACTGAGTGTATGTGGATGTGTGTGTATATACCAGGGGCCTTTTCTTTCACATATGAGATCTGACTTCCTTTGCCCATTGGGAGTGGAGCCAGGTAGTCTTAGCGTGACCATGTGTGTGTGTGTGTGTGTGTGTGTGTGTGTGTGTGTGTGTGTCAATGTGTGTGCGTCTGTAAGAGCTCTGGGGTTAATGTATGCTTTCAATCACAAACTCCCCTGGGTAGAAATCAGCGCTGGCTTGGCTATGTGAAAGTCCTCCACAGTCTCCAGGTGATAACCAATTCAGATATTCAAATGACTTGCAGCATTACTTTTTGGGAAGTTACCGAACTAGACTGAACATATCCATGTAAAGCACGCACACCTGGCAGCTCTCAACAAAATTTGGAACGTCGTGGGCATTATAATGGGGGGGGGGGGGCAGAGTGGAGGAAGGGGCCCCTTATTGGTCCTGAAATGAATCTACAGTTGTTGTTCAGATTTGTGTCTCTCTAAGTAAAAAACTTCAAGTCATAGAAAAACTCAAATTGGTTGAATAAGTAAATCTGGTGGGCTGATTTTTCTTTCCTCTGAAAAAAAAAAGAACAGTAAAAACCTCTTTGATGATTCAAAGTGATTCAAACGCCAAAAAGAAACATATAATAAATCCATGGATGTATTGTTATTGTTCAATTAAAACTAAAATAGAGTTTTTAAAGATGCATCATTGCTAGTTAAAGAATGTATGATACATATTTTAAAAGTTCAAAACGATTCTAGTAATAATGAAAGAATATTCCTACCTGTGTTGATACCATGGAAACGATCAAAGAAGTCCTGTGTGTGTGTGTGTGAGAATTTGCAGGCAAACTCTTGCACATTGTCCAAATTGCACAAAAGCGTTCGCAATGTTTTCAAATCGTTCCCAGTGCAGTCGTGCCATTTAAACAGTATGCATGAGTTTGCTTGCAGTTTCTTGATGGACTCATTCATCTGTTATGCAGCTTTCTGATGAGACAGATGTTTATTTGAAGTGTCAAGTCTCGATAGTGTAAGAACGACAAGAAATAAGAGAAAGTGACGGTGTGTGAGGAAACAAAGAAGAGGATGACAGGAAGGGACAATTAAACAGGGAGGATTTATATATAGAGGGGAGTGGGAGGGGAAAGATAGGTCAAGATGACTTAACTAGGATACACTGCCTGCTCAGGAATACTCCACCCTCACACACACACACACACACACACACACACACACACACACACACACACACACACACACAGAGAGACACATACACACACACAGCAATTTGCCAGTGAGGTAAATCCCCCAGCATTCCCCCCGCATGTGCTGTCACAGCCCTCCCACTCCTGCATCTGGTCTGTGTGTCTGTATATGTGTGTGTGTGTGTGTGTGTGTGTGTGTGTGTGTCACCACTACTTTCTGACATTCTTTTCCAGAGCACAGAGGCAGTGAGCTCAGCTGCAGAGAGACTTGAGTATAAATCCAACTCAGAACGTCACCGGGACAGCAGTGAAAAAGAAGGAGAGGTTGCAGCTCGTGTTCATGTCTCTTGTGAGTTGGGGATTCCAAATTTGAGGGCCATCTTTCTGAAAGTCACCTGGGAAGTCTTTTTTTATCACGACGGACTTCTACAAAAGCATCCTCTTTCCTCCGGTGCGTCCTCTGTCCACCTCCCTCTCCATGTTTTGGAGGCAGATTCCAAACTTCGGACTGCTGTGATCCAGAGTTTTGGGAATACTTTTGGAGAGGCAAACAAGTTCGAGAGCATAGTCCTGCTACAGCACACAGAGAGGTAAGTTAACACAAAGAAAATAGAATAGCAAAGCGTTCATTTGTGTTTGGCTGGTTTTAAAAGTAGGCAGAGATCAAATATAACTTAAAGAAAACTTTTATTGACTGCAGACTTATGAGTTAGGATATTGCATGATACAATTGTTTGGGCTATTTTGCATTCAAATCTGTGTCGTAAAAAACAAAAGAAAGCCTGCCTTTCCAGTAAATCACCCAGAGATGTCTTATCTCGACATGTTTTCGAAGTGAGAGTTCCATTGTAAATGGTGCATTAAAGTGCAGCGTGTTGCACCATCAGCCCTTAATGTAAGAACTCTGCTGAGGTGGGGTTGCTTGTTCCTGGTGATCCCCAGCGAGATATCCACTGGGAGTCTGAGAAAAGAGGGAGAAAAGACGTGAGGGGAGAGGACATTGTGAATCGCTTTACTCTGAGCATCAAGAAATAAATGGGTTGATGGGTAAGAAAGCAGAAAAAAAAAAAAAAAAAAAAAGGATTTGAAAGGGAGCCTGAGCTGGGGGAGATGTGGAGTTTTAACAGCTCTATCTGGATTTATCATCAATAAGCAATGATGCAAACGTTGTGTTCAAATGTTTCAGACACGGGCATCAGTGAATACAAACAGATGTTGAATGCAGATGCATGCAAAAGAAAGGACACATGCACACACACACACACACACACACCTTTTACTCATTGCACTCACCTTTAGTTTCTTAAGCACGTTCATCTCACAGCTCTTTCATTATTCATACATTCATCACCTTAATTATTCTAAATGCATCACGGTGGTTTTCGTTGTGCTTCTCTGCAGACACTGGCTCCTGTAAAGATGGCTGACGTGGTGCAGCCAGACGCCAGCAGCTTGCAGATACCCGGTAAGACATGTACACAGTTTGTATACACATGCTTCATTACCATGGCAACGCGCTCATAATGACTCACTTCCCCTTTTTCTTTATCTTCTGGAGCCTGAACAACACACTGGCCTTTTCCATGTTCCTCTCCCACTTGGGGATATTATTCACATCAGATACCAGCGTGACATTTCAGTCATTCCGGCTCATCGCAAATATTCAAACATCTCGAAAGCCTCGAAATGTGTTCGTAACCCGGCTCCCAAATGAGGTGTTTTCTGTCTGTGCATAATGTGGACAAGGCAATAACAGCTCTGTGCTTGTGATAAGGGTTTCCCCATGACTGCTGATGACTTACACGCTTTATTTCTTGTCAGTTGTGTAGTTGTGTCATTACTTTTTCTTTTCAGGTGACAATTTATCGACCCCTTCATCGCCTGCCACAGCGAGAAATGACTGCAGCATCACACCACTCACACCATCACCCTCACCGGTATGCACACACACACACACACACACACACACACACACACACACATTAACCCACGGACACCCCTACACACCCTTTCCTCGTACTATTTATTTTCTTTATATAGAGCTCTTCAACACAACCTGTTAACCCACATCCACTCCTCGCTCTCATTAGTGGCTTTTGATAACACACTGACGGGTTCAAATAGAAGTATAAGCTTAGAATAAGTACCCAATAACTACTACGGTCTGTGTTTAAGAGATATGAACACATGAATTCCAACAGTGGAGGAGAGAAAAAAAAAAAAAAAGTAAAGAGGGTTTTATTTGAAAAAAAAAAAAATACTTCTAAATAACAAACTGAACTGGTAATTTAAACTTTCTCATAAAATGATCTGGTTATTGTTGAAAATTCACATTTTAAAGTTCCACTTGAGGTTTGTTTCCAGGACGACATAATAGTCAGGATTAGCGCCTTTGCTACATGCTCGTGATAACAACGCTAAAGCCCAAAGTTTTTCAAGCAAACTTTCTTAAGTAGGTCAGCATGCAACTGTTTCCTGAAGCAGAAAACAGATTGGATTGGAAGACCTTTATTGTGCCTCAGGGGCAATTTGGTTAGCAACATACAGGCAGCACAAAGACATAAATACATACATATATAACATAACTAACATGGATCTCATCATGATGGACGTGAGTGAGCTAAGAGACACAAACAACAACAGTCCAGAGTAAATTTAGAAACCCAACGTCTGATGGATAAAGGTCCTCAGATATGTTTGATCTGGCCCTCCTAACATAAGTGAACCTCCTCCCTGTCGGCAGAAATCTCAACTCAGCATGTAGAGGGGTGGTGAGGGTCTTCCAGCGTGGCCTTTGCCTTCTGAGCCTTCTAGCGTCCGGGAGTCGTTATGTCCTAACAGTAACTATTGTACCAGTTTAAACTACAACACAAAAAAAAAAAATCTCCCCCCCCCCTCCTTCCTTCTCTCGTCCTCTCAGAGGGTGGAGGTCAGACCGAGGATGGCCTGTCCGTTCTCTGTTGTCGTAGCCATTGACTTTGGGACCACTTCAAGCGGCTATGCTTTCAGCTTCACACAGGACTCAGAGGCCATACACATGATGAAGTAAGAGTCTGTGGTTTTACAGGAATCATTTTCTTTTTTCGGTTGTTTTCTATCCTTGACATCTGTTTCCTCCGCTCCATGCAGGCGCTGGGAGGGTGGTGACCCCGGGGTGGCAAATCAAAAGAGCCCTACGTGTCTCCTGCTGACCCCGGATTTGAGATTCCACAGTTTTGGGTTCGCGGCCCGGGACTTCTACCACGACCTGGATCCGGAGGAGGCCCGGCACTGGCTCTACTTTGATAAGTTCAAGATGAAGATCCACAGCACAAGTGTAAGACGGCTCTGAAATGATCTGTTTGTTTTTCAAAGAAAGGCATAGACAAATATGAATTCTAATGACGTCTCGATGAGGCTTTCTTGCAAGTAAGGCCTTACTGAAAACACCACAGAATTGCATTGTGGGATTTGTGACCAAAGGATCTACTGTTTCGGAAGCTTGAATTGCAAAAGGGATTCAAACATCTGGATATACTCACTTTTGCATATAATTATTTTTCAATATTTGTTAGTCTCTCCACTTTATGAAAGTGCAATGCGGAAGTTTTATAGCATTGTTCTTGCAGCAGCGCTTGAGTAGTCTGTGTTTTCTGCAGGACCTCACCATGGAGACGGAGCTGGAGGCGGTCAATGGTCGAAGGATCAGGGCCATTGAGGTGTTCGTTCACGCCCTGCACTTCTTCAGAGAGCATGCTCTTAAGGTACACTTTCGATCTCACCTTGTGTCGTTTTAAGCCGCGCTTGTGTTTGTCGTATTGTATTTATAAGATGTGTTCCATCGGTTCTGTTTTAGGAGGTGAAGGACCAGTCATCATCGGTGCTGGAGGGAGACGAGATCAGATGGGTAATCACCGTCCCAGCTGTGTGGAGACAACCTGCCAAACAGTTCATGAGAGAGGCTGCATACCTGGTAGGGCGGGAATACACACACACACACACACACACACACACACACACACACACACACACACACACACACACACACACACAAAAAGAAAAATCAAAATCAGTCCATTTCGGTCGTTTAATTAAATAGACTCACACACATATGAACACACATGACAACAGACCCAGTTTGTGTGTGTGTGTGTGTGTGTGTGTGTGTGTGTGTGTGTGTGTGTGTGTGTTGAAAGAGCAAGAACAATACAAAGACGGAGGAGAGATGACAGAATGAAGGTGTTGCAAATAAAAAATGACAGGTTAATTTTCTTATAGAAGATTATTCACAATCCACACACACTCACACACTCACACACGCACGCACGCACACACACACACACACACACACGCACGCACGCACACACACAGCGGCTATAACACCACACACATTCACTCTCTTGTGTGTATCTCCATCAACACACACTCTCCTTCCCTGTGTACGTGTTACAGCTACTTGTAGGAAGTGTGAGTACATGAATAGGAATGCAGGGGGTAAACTATCTCAGTACACATCAATAAGAACTGGATCTACCTTTGAGGCTGTTTGTGTGTGAGTGTGTCTGCGCGACCTTTGACTTTGAATGTCATGCTCTTTTGCTCTTGTTGTCACGCTTTTCACATTTCTAAGGTTATTACTCCAAACACACACACACACGCAGATCGATTCATAAAGCGTTATCTCTCTGCCCTTTACTCACCAGGTTACAAACATAAAACGTCTATTGCATGCACACTTTCACATGCTCATTGACATACATATACACACACACACACACACACACCCTGCGTTGGCTCCCAGTTTGAGGCTGTCGGGGTGTGTGTACTTCCTGATGGTGATGATGTCATAGAGAAGTGAACAATGAGGGAGACCGGCGTACAAACACAGGAAGTGGTGTCCAGACCCCCGCCCTACACACCCACACCCAAACACACACACACACTCAAATGCACACACTCACATAAATCATTCCATCCACTCAACTTTACTCCCAATACATTTCTTGAAGCCCAAAACTTTGGTCCCAACTTCTGATGAATCAGAATGGAGTCTTAAGAAATTCTTCTTCCAAGAAATGATATCTAAACTTTCAATGTTCAATCTCTAAGGTGTCTTAACACAATGAAATATTTGCAGGAAAATACAATTCCGCTTGTATTTGTTTCTCCTCCAGGCTGGTCTGGTGTCTTCAGACTGTCCTGAGCAGCTCCTCATCGCTCTGGAACCCGAAGCTGCGTCCATTTACTGCCGCAAGCTCCGCCTCCACCAGGTGATTGACCTGAGCTTGCAGCCATTCACAAACGGCCTCGATCTGGATGGATCCAGGCCCTTCGACTCCAGCTTCAGACAAGGTAGTGAAAAGAGAGCGTATGTGCGTGTGTGTGTGTGTGTGTGTGTGTGTGTGTGTGTGTGTGTGTGTGTGTGTGTGTGTGTGTGTGTGTGTGTGTGTGTGTGTGTGTGTGTCAGTGTATGCATGCATGTGTATTTTTTTTTTGTGTGTCTTCTTGTTGGAGTTTCCCATTAGCATAAGTATGAAACCACAGTACCACAGTATGTTCCTGGAAATGTTGTGGTTTGACTTCACTGGGGGATTGTGGGTTGTGCAAAGAATAAACTGTGCGTGTGTGCGTCCATGTGTGTCAGTGTGTGTGTGTGTTAGTATGTGTGAATGTGTGCAAAAGAAAGAGAGAGTACTGAGAGGTCTGATCTGTCCTTGGATAATGTTTGTGGTTTCTCCTGATGACTTTGCAGTTGTGTATATTTGTACGTTTGTGTGTTCTGGGGGGGGATGCTAGGTGCTAAAGATGCTAAGTTTCTTGACATAAAAAAATCCCCATTCTGTATTCACTTCTTAAAAGTGGTGAATAGTCAAGCACCTGAGTCGATTCTTGGATGAATACTGAAAATCTGTGCAGATTATTAGGTTGGGAAACAATTTTTCTATACATTTGAGGGTCTAATTTGCATTACATTCAGAACGATTTGGGAAGTGCCACAATATGCAAACACTAAATGATGATTGCCTAACAACGTGGAATTGGGCTAATTTTTAAGCAAAGAGCTCGTCCAGAAGATACAAAGAAGCATTTGCCGCAAACTCGTGTTATTGTTACTAGATGCTACAGTCTGTATCTCTGATTTTGCAATGAGGACGCTATTAGGATTTGATTCACTTTTTGCAGAAAATTGGAGTCTTGAGTCAGCCTGAAAATGACACATAAAGGAGCACAAAAGTAAAAAATACAGGGCCAGACAGCCTTAAAGATACTAAATGACTCCACATAGTTAAGGGGAACTGCAGATCTTTGACGATTCCCACTTGTTGGTCTAAAAATATTGAATAGTTTCTACTTTAAAAGGAAACTTTCACATGTTACATGTGGGAAAAAATACTTCCAGATCCTGCAACATAAAAAAGACAAGTAAAAGTAAACTCCTTTAATTCAAAGCTGCATTGAAAACATTTGTGTGTGGAACAACCACAAGAAAATCCTACTGAAATGCAGCAAAAGGAACAAAGAGCAATGTGAGGGCTGGGAAGAAAAAAAAAAGGGGCAGACTGGAGCATAATCCAGCGAATGAACACGCTGTCCAAAATCTCCTGCACAGTCCTACATATACATCGCACACACACACACACACACACACACACACAAAGACACACACTAAACACAGGATATTGTAATTGGAACAAGGTGCAGTGAGACTATGATCTCACCCCCTCTTGGCTTGTCATTCTCCCTCTCCTTCACTTACATTCATTTATCCCCCCCCCCCCCCCATTTATTCTCTCTCCCCCCCACCCCAAACACATGCACACGCACTCATAACACACACACACACACACACACACACACACACACACACACACTCATAACACACACACACACACACACACACTTGGCATCATGGTAAAGTTTTTACTATCTTTAGATTTTTTTTCCACCTCATTTTGAATCCAAAGATATCACAGGGGAGTCATTAACACACACACACACACACACACACAAATACACACACACACACACACACACACACACTCAAAGACAAACACATATATACTTTTCTGCTGTTTCAGATCGTTTGTAAATGGTTTCCAGACTTCCCCGCACAGAGCCACACTCTCTTACAAAGATGCACACACATTAAAGTGCGTGTCATCAAGCCCTAGAAGACAATTCAACTTTGAAGACATTCGGACGTTGACGCTCGCTGTCTGAGGTGAACGAAGAGAAACACTTTAGGTTATAATGTCAAACAATCACTCTCTCTCTCTCACATCATCAGGACCACCTTTTTCCTACCAAAGAGGTTTGTTTTCATTAAAATGTTGACACAGAAATACAACGGTTTCTTTTACATTTTCTTTGGCTCTTCTTCTATTAATTATCTTGAAGCCATTTGCAGTCAAGGTCTCACTCGCATGTGAGTGTTTCTGCTTTGTTAAACTGGCTGACATGTATTGTGAATTTTCTGTCAGCTGTGTTTGAGGGAGTTGTGTTTTTCTTGGCCTCCGTCCGTCCTCTTAACCTGCCAGTCAGGCCATTTTCATGTTCAACACCAAAGAGAGAGAGAGTTGAAATTGGAGAGCATTCTTTAATTTCCAACAAATTGCTTCTGTCGTGCAAAAACATTTTCCCCCCCCCCCCCCCCCAATGTCTTGGTATGTCTTACTTGTTTTCAGAAAGATTGAAAGACTTCATGCTATCCAGTCGGTAAAGTTTGTGACCTCACATATCGCACAAATTAAAAACATTCGTCTTAATGTGGTTGAAAGTGAGGATGTTTATGTTTTTGCTTCAGCCAGTTTGCATTGTGCATGAGTGAAGAAAAAAAAGAGCAGCTTAAGTGACTGACCCTGAAATGTGTTTACAGAGAGAGACCAAATGTTTGAATTAGGGCAAAAGCTGTGGTAGGTGGTGAACGATGCTAATGACTGCTGGGGCCCTGGCAGGAAATAGTTCATGAAAATTTGTGTTGAATTTTAGCTATGAAAGGGGGAGGAGCGGAGCTGTAGGGGGGGGGCAAGAACACTCACTACATGGGCCCTTGGGATTCTAAAATCTTTGCTCCTGAGGTCGTTTATTAAAGACCACAAAACAAACTGAAGCTCAGATATAAAAAAACAACTTTTTAAACAAAACTCTGACACTTATTAAGTTGATTTGGAGACATGTTAGTCGACAGTTGCGTCAACATCCAGCTTGAGACACAGAGCAACACTGATATTCATTTGAAGTCCTGTTTTGGCTCCATTATGATATGTGCATCTGATTCTTGTTTTCCTTTAGCTCTGTTTTTGTTCTGTCAGGACCTGTGTGTCCAATCAGACTTAAGGCTGTTCCTTTGCACTTGCTGACGTTGTTTCCTCCTCTCTAGAGCCCATCTTGTGTTGTCCTTACTCTCTGATGTACAGTATGTCACTTTGGACAAAAGCATCTGCTGAAAGAACTGTAGAAACCCGGGTTAAATCTACCCTTATTATAAAATATAACCCTTATCTTTTGCCTCAGTGGGACATTTAAACCCCGTATTTGAAGATGTGAGGATGCAGCAGAGATCATACCTAAAATCAAAGGTTGAAAAAAGAAGAAGATGATTGATCTGTACTTGTGTGTGTTTGTTGCAGCGAGGGAGCAGCTGAGGCGATCCAGACACAGCAGGACCTTCCTGGTGGAGAGTGGAACTGGAGAGTTTTGGTCAGAGCTACAGACTGGTAAGATTGTGCATGTGTCAGTGTGTGTGTGTGTGTGTGTGTGTGTGTGTGTGTGTGTGTGAGAGAGAGAGACAGACCCCCACATGTGGAAGATATTGATGACTTTGACTTTTAACCCCAGCAGGCTTACTAACAGAAGCAGACAAATGTAGACTACTTTGAACCTTTGACCAACTCACACATTTTTATTTTCCTCCTACACTCAACATACTTTTTTTTTTATCAGATCAGCTTGGTTCTAGTTTTACCAATTATCACCAACAGGCCTACATCTAGACTGTCTGCACCTCATCTTTAAATTGGTGTCTTAAAAAAGCACTTTGGGCTTTGCGCCATTTTTTTTTTTTGTCCAAAGTTTGGTTTTTAGCCTGTTTTAGTAAAAAATCCCCGTTTTTCTGCAGTGGACAGATTTGCCCAAAAAATGTCATCATCGTTACAGGCGCAGGAAAAGATTCGACTTTGATCTAAGTATCCGACGTCAAGGATGAAATCTCACATTAGACATGAGCTCTAACTGGTCTGACCTCTGCCAATTCTGAGCTCATCAAGGTTCCTGTTGAAGCATGAATCTTTATGAGGGTTAGACAATCAAACTGAACAGAGAAGCTGGTAAGAGCAGTTTAGAGTACTTATTGCTCTTACCCTGTATAGCGCACATTAGGCTTCAAAAAAAAAATAGGTCCTTCTTGGCGTGATGAACATGAATGCATGACAAATCTTGTTGTTTTTTTTCCACACAAAATTCACAACCCACCGTGTGAATTTGAACCTGATGATGATGAAATCTCACGAAGGGGCCATAAATCCCACCCAGGTCTGTGTTTTGACACACAGCCCTTTCTTTCTGTTGAGCCATGACAGCAATCTCAGGAGCCACGCGTCCCTGCTGACCCTTTCAGCTCCCACACACACACACGCACACACACACACACACACACACACACACACACACACACACACACACACACACACACACACACACACACACACATGCACGCACACTTACGCACACAGGAAGGACCCAGCCCATGGGACTCTCTGCCTCAGCACTGTAAATAAACCAAAGGAACAGATGCCAATTTTTATCCTAATTTTTCTTCTCTTATTCTTACCCAATTTTCCTTTTTTTTTTTTTTTTTACTGCTAGCACTCTCTCTGTGTCTTACCAACTCTTACAACGTTTAGCTTGACTCAGTGTAACTGAGCTAAAACCAGCTCTTATCACTTAAGATATCATAAACGTACATGCAACACACTCCGAGGGGCAGCACTGCAATCACAGACGCCTGGGGTTGTTTATGTTTGAGGGTCTGGTTGAAGAAGTTTTAGGGGAAACACACACACCTACGCACACACGCACACATACACACACAGGAAACATGAAATCGAGACATGCTAACAAAAATGAAGACACATTATCATTCATGATATCCTTGAACGAGTTGAGGAACAGTTCCCGGCCCTGGAATCTAACTGATTAGCGTGTTTTTTTTTTTTGTTTTTTTTTTTGCAAATGTGTGTTTGTCCATTCTTTGCGTAGGTGACAGATATGTTGTCGCTGACTGCGGAGGAGGAACAGTCGACCTGACAGTCCATCAGATCGAGCAGCCACAGGGAACCCTCAAAGAGCTCTACAAAGCTTCAGGTCCAAACGTTCACAATTTCACAAATTAAGTTACAACCACATTTCTCACAGTATCTAAAGTTGTTGTTTTTTTTTGTTTGTTTGGGTTTTTTTTTTTTACCAGGGGGTCCGCATGGTGCTGTTGGAGTAGACCTGGCCTTTGAAGCCATGCTGTGTCAGATCTTTGGCGAGGACTTCGTGCAGAGCTTTAAGGCGAAGCGTCCGGCAGCCTGGGTGGACCTCACCATCGCGTTCGAGGCGAGGAAACGGACGGCGGCACCGGGCAGGGCCAACGCCCTCAACATCTCCCTGCCCTTCTCTTTCATCGACTTTTATAAGAGACACAGGGGGCAGAGCGTGGAGGCCGCCCTCAGGAGGAACAAGTAAGAAAGGGCTCGGGGTATAGAGCATGTATTTACAGAGAGGGTTCATAATGTGTGCGCAATTATTTTTTTAATAAATATGATGGATTGATTGAGGGTGTTTGTGACTCTCTCCTCTGTGTGTGTGTGTGTGTGTGTGTGTGTGTGTGTGTGTGTGTGTGTGTGTGTCAGTATGAACATCGTGAAGTGGTCGTCTCAGGGAATGCTGCGGCTAACACAAGAAGCAATGAATGAGCTCTTCCAGCCCACCATCAACAACATTGTGAAACACATCGGTGAGAAACACACAAAGACGCATGAACAGAACACAGTCACAAACCGACATGCGTTACTCAACTCAATCAATCTTTATTTGTGTAGCTCTGGCGCATTACAAATGTCATCTCAAGACACAAAAAGAGCAGATCTAGACCTGACTATCTGTTACAATATCTGACCCAACCGGAATCCACCATGAGCACAGCAACAAGCTACATTTACTGAGCGTAAGGACACTTTTGTTTTGGGTTTTTCAGGACAGGAGGCAGAAAAAATCAATCAGGCTCTGTTTAAAATCAGTCACATTCTATTCTACACGAGGAAAAACAAAAGATATCCTATTCTGAAAGGCGTAGTGGCTTACTATACAAGTCTTCTAGATCATGTTTTATTCCCTTGTGTTCCTCCTGAATGGTCACAAACGAGTACATACACTGCAACAAAGTGACATTATTCCCCCCCTTTTTTAATCCCCTTGCAGAGGAGCTGATGGCAAAGCCGGAGGTGCGCGGGGTGCGTTTCCTTTTCCTCGTCGGAGGTTTTGCAGAGTCGCCCATGCTGCAGAAAGCCGTCCAGAAAGCTCTGGGGCGGACCTGCCGCATTATTATCCCCCATGATGTCGGACTGACCATCCTAAAGGGCGCGGTGCTCTTTGGACTGGATCCCACTGTGGTGAGTGTTCAGACAGTACCAGTCGGAATCGGTGTTGCTCTTTAAACAGCTGCTCCACTGAGTTCTCTCTCTCTCTCTCTCAGGTCAGGGTGCGTCGATGTCCCCTCACGTACGGCGTTGGAGTCTTGAACCGCTTCGTGGAGGGACGCCACCCCCCCGACAAGCTCCTCCTCAAGGACGGCCGCGAGTGGTGCACCGACATCCTGGACCGCTTCGTCGCCGTCGACCAGTCGGTGGCCCTCGGCGAGGTGGTGAGGCGCAGCTACACGCCCGCTCGCCTCGGCCAGCGGAAGATCATCATCAACATCTACTGCAGCGCCACGGACGACGTCACATACATCTCGGACGCCGGAGTCAGGAAGTGTGGGACAATCACTTTGGACCTACCAGAACCATTGCCGCTACCGGGAGCAGTGGGAGGGGCAGGAGGAGGAGGAGGAGGAGGAGGGGGGGAGGGGAGGAGGAGGAGGAGGGGGGCGGGTCCTGAGAGAAGAGAGATCAGAGCGACCATGCAGTTCGGAGACACTGAGATCAAAGTCACAGCCGTTGACGTCATGTCTAACCGCTCCGTCCGGGCTTCCATAGACTTCCTGTCTAACTAAGGAGGAGCAGGAAGTGGAGACTTGGTATTGGAAACACAGACATCGTTGATTTTAGGGCTGATTATTTCAAGAAAAAGCGGTACTTTGGGAGCGGGAGACTCGCTGAAAAGAACAGGAAAAACTCAAATTCAGACATTTGTGCCTCGTAATTACTCAAAGAAGTGAACCAGAGAAGAACTTTGAAGCATTCCTTCATATTCCTTAAAAATGGAGCCAGTATCTCTGAAGGGCGGGGTGCTCTGCCTTCAGTCTTAACCTGTCGTAACGCACTCTACATGTATGTGTCCTGGCGAATTCCCCTCAAGAAAAATATGGAAGGAACAACCCAATGAACTCTGTGAACGCTGAAACGAGCTGGGGGAAGACTGCACATCCGTCCTGCAACAAAGATACTGAACTGTCTGACAGTTTGATCGTCACCTAGAGAGACGCTACTTAATACACTATACTACCTAGAGTGGAGACACTCACATAATAATTTGTAAATAAAGACACTCATATAGTGAATAACAGGAATATCTCACAGGTTCTGTCCTCATACCTCATTTCAATCCTTCTTCATTATCCACATTAAAGACTGCAGCTTAATCTCTCTCCTTTCAATAAGACTAAGTGTTTAAACAAAACACACCCAAGGTCCTGTACTGAGAGACAGTTATTGTTCTTTATTATTGGTTTCAATAGTCCCTTTGCAAACTAAGAGGTGCCTTTCATCTGTTTTGACTTTTTTCCCCCCTCAGATTTCTAATCAAGCTCAAACAGAGTTGAGAAATTGAAAGCAGCCGGATCCAAATGGAGCATTCTGAGTTTCACAGAACTCAGGCTCTTCACTGTGTCCTCCATGTATTAAAGGTCCATGTGCTGACCTTTCTTAAGGCTTTTTACGAGCTTGCAGTGTTTTCTCAGCAGATGGAGCTTCACTTCATAACTAAGTTACACAACATGTACACAACATGTACACACCACGGTTACAGGTAGTGTTGTAGTACTCCAAACCGGTCTCGAGACCACTTTTTGAGGGTCTCGTCTCAGAATTGAAAGGATTTTTTTCTTGATCTTGTCTTGGTGTCAAACTGGGCAACCCGAATGTCAAATCAATACCGGTCAAGACCACCGCTGATAGGCTATTATTTGTCCACGTCATTATTCATGATTAGAAGGAAAACGCCTCTTTCTAAAAGAAGAAATTACTTCACTTCATTCATAATTTGATTTGTTTTTATCCCCTGGGTATGTCAGCAATCTTCCAGTAGTTACAGTCTTAGTGAGAGACACACCCGCTCCGCTGCGCACCAGATGATGATTTTTTTTTTGTTTTGGTCTTGCCTTGATCTCGTCTCGATCCCTTTAATGTCTTGGTCTTGTCTCTGTCTCGGCTCACTCTGGTCTCGATTAATGTGGTCTGTACGACAACACTAGGTCACTTACAGGTCACTCCATCTATTCAGAGGAAATCTTTGAAAATCAATGACATGAACCTTGGGTGAAGCTTTTTTTCCCCCCTTGGTCGAAAAAAAGGCTTTCTAGAATATGAAGATTGACAAATAAAAAGGCTGAGTAAAGCTCCTGCAGACACAAACTGTAAGTACAAATAAAAAGCACTAAACAAAGAATGCACTTACACTTGTATGCTGGGATATTTAGTTCCTGTCTGTTTCATCGATTCAATACGTTTATAAAATATTGTCTCATGTCAGTTTCTCTCGAGTTCTTTCATGTGTATTTTCTTTTAACCTGTGCAGGATCCATGATACAAAACCATCCTTCCTTAATCCTACCTGTAAGTCTTAGGCAATGTGTTTATTAATAAAATAAACTTCCTTCCATGCATCATCTTTGCAGCTGCATGTCCGTCACTGATTTATAGAAACAAGGAGAAAACAATCTACTCCTTCTCCACCAGATGTTTTATAATAAAAACACATTTAGAGTCAGCAGGATGATTTCAGCTGTGAATTTATTGATAAGAATGGTCCAATAAATAGTTTCCCACAGCATGACACAAGTGAATGGATCAAAACTGTTCTACATCCCATCAGTGCTTTCCTCTCCATGGCACACATCAATTTGCCACACATAACAAAACAGGTTTAGACATTGTGGAAGAGATCTTTGAGGTCAGCAGAGGAGACGCTGCCTTTGAGGAGGAGGACAGGAGTGTGTATGTTTCAAAACTAAGAGGGGGAGGGGGAACTGAATTCATTCTACAAGTTTTCCAGTAACATTTTTAAACATTATGGCAAAAAAAATAGAAAGATGCAGAGCTTGAAATGTTCAGCAGGTGTAACTAAATGAAGGCTTCTGAACGAGAAAAAAAATAACTACACATGACGAGTAGAAAACATGAATCCTGTCAGCCATCTTTAACAGAGTCAGAAGAACTGGTTTAGAAATAACAACACGAAATCCTCCTTCCCCCCCCCCCTTTTTGTTTGTTTCACAAAACCTGCCATTTGAATTCGGTCTGACAAGCTACACCACCTCATTTTATCTCAAATTCAAATCCAAGTGCAGATCAAACGCGCAGAGTGAAATGACACGCGTTCTTTATCTGCATCTATGTTTGAATGTAACCCGACCGGTCCCAGAGACTCAAATCTTTCATCTGCATTTGGATTTTGATGTCGGTATAAAACGAGGTTTTTGTTCTTGCGTCCTCTTAGTGAGCGTGTGGTCTCCCTCTGCCTCGGCCCCTGCCGGCGCCACCTGGAGGTCCGTCCATAGAGCTGCGCGGGTTCCTGATCGTCTCGTCCACAGACAGGATGAGGCAGGCGGCCTCTGACGCCGCGGTCAGAGCGTTTATCCGCACGATGGCCGGCTCCCAGACGCAGCCAGCGAAGTTATCGGCGATGTCTTCGTTGTTGATATCCACGCCGTACCACATACCGCCCTGCAGCCAGATGACACACAGAGTCAGACGAAGCTAACATGATTCCCCTCTTCCGTATAAAACCCTGAGGCTTTTCAGGTATTTTTGGGGCGTCGTGTACAAAGTGTTTAATTTTTGTCTTACCTGGGCGTGTTTGGCGCGCAGTTTGTTCAGGATGTTGGTGGCGTCAAAGCCAGCGTTGTCACACAGCTGTCTGGGGATGATCTCCAGGGCCTTGGCGTAGGCTCCAATCAATAGCTGCTGTTTTCCAGGGATGGTCCTGGAATAATCCCGCAGGTACTTGGACAGCTCCATCTCAATAGCTCCTCCGCCTGCTACAATGGAATCATTCTGCAATACAAAAAAAAAAAACAGTCAGGGTCAGAACGTTTGATGTTGCTGACAAAAGACTCAACTACTGAGGTGAGATCGAGAGCTTAATGTAGAAGTTCACACTGCACTGGTATGAACCACATGTGTGATCTTTTCTGAACACTCATCATTCACAGATCTACATTTCAGACTCACAAACTCTAGATATTAAGACTTCGTGTACAGTACTGCCAGAAATCTTCACGTTTCCTTAAACATCCAGGCGATCGACAAAATACGACGGCGACACCTCAAGCCTCGCTGCTAGACGAGATAAATGTTAAGTGATATCAGCGACAGCCGTTGAAATCTAACACTATCCTGAATAAATATTTTTTGCACAAAGTAAGTGTCTGACCTTTAAGACTCATGAAACCTTGTGACAACTTCTAACTTGTAATGTGTCTTAACACGTCCCCTTTATGTGTCTGTACTCGCGACGGAAACTTGGGGGCATATATACCCTCCCGTTTTGTCGACTGACCTTGATGGCTCTGCGCACGATCATGATGGCGTCGTGCAGTGACCGCTCCGTCTCCTCTGTGAACTGTTCGGCTCCGCCCCTCAGGATGATGGTGCACGTCTTTGCCTTCGGGCAGCCCTTGAAGAAGTTGTACCTGCAGAGACGGGACGGGGAGGGTTTGTGGCTGCCGCAGAAGAAGACGCTTCCCCTCTTGAGAAGAGAAGCCGGGGGGTGCAAGATACAAAACTGGCCCCTTCTTACCTTTCTCCTCCGACCTGCACCTCTTCAAAGAGCTCGCACTGTCCCAGGACATCGTCTGTCATGGCGCCCACCGAGGTCTGGATGGAGCCGCCGCATGCCTTGAGGTCACATTACAAACAATCAGTCTCGTCAAAGCCGATTCTAACTTAAGAAATAAAGTTCCACAACATGCAAACAAGAAGCCCACTGGAAGGCAACTTAACTTTAAAACGTTGCACAGACATGAACTACTCGAGAGAATATCAAGCTAGAAAGAATTTACAATTTTTGTAGCAATATTTTCCTTCCATCATTTACTTCAAAACAAATTGGAGGTATTAAGAGTGTAATGCAATGTAAGGTATTCAGTGTCTGTGCTACCATCATGGTCCTCTTCAGATCCTCCTCCTGGACCCTGCCAGCACAGAACAGGTCCCTGTCGGCGAAGAACTGGGTGGCCACATCCCCGATGGGGAGCTTGGACAGGACCACCTTGGCTCCAGACTGATAGATCTTCTCCAGTTTGTCATACAGGATGTTCCACTCTGCATCCACAATCGCCTGGTAGTCCTGCAAACGAGGGGAAAGGAGGGTTAAAAAATAAAGTAATGGGCTCCAGACTGAGATGCACATTTAGAACGAAACTTCCAGGATGTCCTTGATTGTCATTCTTAGTTGTTTTGGTCTTCCTACCTCCACAGATTTCACGCGGACCTCGGCGTTATCCTTCTCGGCCTTCAGCTCCAGCTCCACATTGAGCAAAGCGATCTTTGGATTGTCGTAGCGCTTGGGCTGCATCTCAAAACCGGCGTAAGAGAAGGTCTTCTTAAACGCCACCCCGGAGACCAACTGAGAGTCCTGCAAATACAGAAAGTTTTACTTCAGTGGATTTCATTTCTCCGACCTATAAACGGATATGACGATTAAAGACGCAGATTCTTTTTTTGTAATGAGTAAAAGATACAAACCTCAAGAGCTCCTCCTTGGACCTTCTTGATGCCAATCATCTTCAGGGACAGCAGCTCGTCCAGAGACATGACTGCATCCACCACCATCTTTGAGAAGAACCCCTTCTGACCGGCGATCAGCTTGGAGTTCAGGGCTGTTGCTGCACACTTCTCCAGCAGCTGCCTCTGCTCTCTGAGAGGATTGAATGATGGACAAGGTATTCAGGTTGGTATCACTAGATCAGTTCTTAAAAGCATCATTCAACCACATCGATATATAATCCATCAAACAGATCAAATCTGACTTGCAGAGTAGCTGCCTTGAGAACAAAGGGTTTCTATAAAAGTGAGCACTTACTGCTTGTCGTCTTTCTTCACAGGGACAGAGATCTCCTTGATCTTGTTGACAGCAGGCTGGTGGCAGTGCGGAACGCTCTGATGATGGTTTGAGGGTGGAGACCCTCCTCCACGTACGACTTAAGCTGCTTCAGGAACTCAGCGGCCAAGAGAGTGACAGAGGTGGTACCATCCCCAACCTGAGAAAAATGCAGAGGAGAGAGAACAGATTGTGATTGGGACGCTCCGATAGTGGACGTCGAACTCTGATCTGCCGTCAATTTGACATTTTATCTGTGGACTTTGTAGGTTTTTTTCAGGGATTTTAACAGATAAACTGCATCAAGTGAATTCAAACCTTGATCCAAAATGACTTGGATGACTAAGAACCAACACAGATACCTGAATTGAAACTTAAATAGTCTAAACACAGTTCTCACCTCTGCGTCCTGGGAGCGAGCAATGTCTACGAGGGTCTTAGCTGCAGGGTGGACAACATCCAGCAGCTTCAGGATGGTGGCTCCATCGTTGGAGATTGTGGCTTTACCTGGAAAAACAGAAGTCAGTCACACGTTTATTCCAAGCATCAACTCACCCCGTTTCTGTTCATTTGGAACATTTCCACCCTTCTCTCCTCACCTCTGCTATCCACCATCAGCTTGTCCATGCCCCTGGGCCCCAGGGTGGTCCGGACAGCCTCAGCAATCACCTACAGGAGAAAAAAGAAAAAAAATCACAAAAGGTCTATTTAGACGGGCGTTAAATACACTAAGACACAAACCACCAGATATAAAAAAAGACAATTCTTCTTACCTGGCAGGCATTGATGTTACTGACGAGCTGGGGGATGCCCTGAGAAGAGTCTGTCCCCTCCTTCAGCAGGATAACTGGTGTGGGCTGGAGTGATAAAAAGAAAAAGTAATGGTTGACCGATGATTATCAATATAATGGAGAGAGTTTAAGAAAATCAGATAAGTTTTAAACTTTAGCCTGAGCTGCATATATCAAACTGTACTTTTTTTTAATCATATTTCTTTATTTATCTATCAGAGCTAGTATTTTGTACTGTTATCTATGAGTAACAGCTACTTATGCACATGGACCATCCATACCACTGTTTTTATCCTGGCTTTGTATTGTGGACTCATGTTTTTTTGTATGGGTGGGATATGTATGTATATATGTGTTGTGTTGTGTGTTTGTATACATGTGTGTGTGTGTGTGTGTGTGTGTGTGTGTGTGTGTGTGTGTGTGTGTGTGTGTGTGGGCTGCTGGAACACCTAAATTTCCCTGCTGGGATGATAAAGTATATCTTATCTTTATCTTAAGCTGAAGCTGAAAACAAAGCAATTCCTTAAAATAAGTCAGGTAAATGTTACAAGTTCATACAAGTAAAATTACTATTGAGCTTAAAATTAGATAATATAAGTTCAGTGATACAGCTCATCACAACCCGGATGAACAGTCATCCGTCAACAAATAGTACATATTAATCAAGTGTCAAAAAATTGGAAGACACTAAATACTATTTAAAGATTTGATTAAGAATATTTGTGTTTTTCATTTAAAAACTAAGAATGTGAATATATACAACCAGGATTTAACTTAGCATTACTAGTCTTAAATAGGAAGATTGAATGTAAATGTGCAAAATAGAGTTGTAAATGGTTGTATATTAAATATGGAAGAGCAAATGTGCTTTTACATGCTTTGAAAATGATAAAACTGAAGTCAAAAACTACATATTATTCTTAGTTACTCCATTACTAGTACTAACAATGACACAGCAAAATCTGCCAATCAGGTGATTAATGATACATATTACTTATCAGCCTTTATCAGCCAGTCAATACTTTGACAACTCAAACAAACAGGTGAGTAGATTAGTTGATGCTTTTTGCAGAAATCAGTAATTTCAGCATCATTTCCTCCACAGATGAGCTCCTCATACAAAGAGGCTTACAGCAGCTGACTTCATGATAACCTCATTAACAAAGGGATGTGTGATATCATACACAATGACAGTGTTAATCATGTACTAAAACCGTGGAACACATTTAAAAAAAAAAAACATGAAGCTACTTTGTTCATTGTCTTCCAGCATAAACAAGTTAGCATCGTATACGCCCATAGACGCCGGGTAGAGCTACAATGCTAACACCGTGTCGCTCACTTTTAAATGATCTAAAAGCTTTAATCAAAAAATAATTACTTCTAAAGACAGTTAAAGGGCAACAATCTTCAATGAGAGGAAGTCAGATGCGAATACATGTTGTTAATCATAAGGATGGTCATGGATTATGGATATCCGTTAGGTGCAGAAACGCTAACTCACTCACCATCATCTTTGCAGTTCCTTCGAGAAGCTTTCCACCGGCATCCGATCCCACAATGCTTTGCGAAGTGAGGCCGCTTTAGGGTGGTGTTCAAGAACTCAATCGACTGCTTTTGTCAACGCTATTAAATATGGTTTTTTTTTTTACACGTTTTCTGATATCAAACTCAAACTTATTGTCTTAACTTTCAAACGACAAACGAAAAGAAATTAAAGGAAATTCACTATAACATTATTAACAGTTACTTTATTCAATTCAATTCAATTCAAACAACTTTATTTGTCCCCGGGGGGGCAATTAAATAAAAATAAAATAAAATAAAATAAAATAAAATAAAATAAAATAAAAAAAAAATAAAAATAAAAATAAAATAAAATAAAAATAAAAATATTGTACGTATTGATACAGTATAATGCCTGTTTTTTATATTTCATACTGATTAACTTCCCCTTTCATTTGTTGTTTATTTTTTATGTTGACACAATTTACAAAGCTTAATTACTCAGCCTGTTTTTGTGACCGCAGCCACCCTATTCATTGTCATTGACTGTAGCTATTTATCTCTCAAGCTCCTGCTGCATATTGACAGTGACACAAAAAAAAAAGGTGGAGGTGTTAGTTGATTTGGCAAACAAATGTTTTGCCATCAGTGGTCAATTTGCATCAGGTTACAGTACATCAGGCAAACTTTGTCTGAAAGACAATTTTGTTGCTCCACTATCCTCTGTGCAGAAATATGCTCAGACATGCACAGCCTTCATGTGTGACATCATTTTCCAGAACCATTAACGTGGCATATTGAGCATGCAGTCTGTGACTTTGCATACTGTGATGCAAACAAAATAGAATGTACAGCAGGATGCTTTTTAATTTGCATTTTTTTAAAGTAAATTGGCACAGCTTTATCGTGCATTTAAAGGAGATGAGATCATCATTGTTTTGATGGTTTTTTTTCGCTGTCTTGATACCATTGATGCACTTTGTGGAGCTTAGTTGTGGCATCAGCAAATAGTTTCCCCCAATCTGCCACTTGCCTTTAACCTTGTGTAAAAAACAAGTCTGTTAAGATATTTAGATGTTTTGTTAGACGATATTGGATCCAGGAAGCGTGGTCATCATCTTCTAATTTCCAAACAGTCTTATACCTGCTTTCACTGATACTATATGCAGAATGTACCAGAGCTAACTGATTGCTATAGCCAATATAAAGACTCCTTCTCTCAAAAAAAAACAGAATGGAGATTTATATTATCATGATGCAATAGACTTTTATTTACCCAACACAACACGATAAACAAAAAAAAAAACAATGTTTGGCCCAACAATAAGAAACCGGCTGTGGAAACTAAACATTGGCCTACTATGATCACAAAAGACAAAATAATATTTCAAACTGTGGACAAATGTTTATGTGCCTAAATGTAGTAAAACCTGCAAATGGTGACACAGAATGATGAATGCTCTTCAACAATTCTTTATTATTTTACTGTTCTTTGTATTAGATACAGTTTGAAGGCACATATTCATGCTGCACTTAAAAGGCAATGCACCCTATAATAATACAAACTATAAGGTCACATATCAGAAACTAGAACAGATAACAGATTATATGGAGGAGAGAATACAGTTTAATGCAAGCAGTAAATCAAAGGGCTTATAGAACAGTGTGCACATATAATAAAAAAGCATTTTTACTTCTTGTGTTAACGATGAACTAAAATAAATGATGTGCAATTTAAACAGTTTTCAATGAACTTCAACTTTGAACGTTTTGACGTTTCTTTCTGCTTGAAGAGAAATATTGCATCATTTGTTTTTAGAAACAAAGATTTTCCCCCAGAGATGATGAAGGATGTGTGTGTATTTTAATACCAAGTTTAGAACCACATTACCCATAAACCCTCCTTTATCCTGTGTTTGTGTTTGTCCCGTCATCATTTTTAATCTGCTGGAGAAGTTCTTTCAAAATGGATTTTCCTCCAAAAAGTAAAAGAAGCTCTTTTTTAGAACAGCAAATTTTGCTCAAAGTAATAAAGCTGCAGTCTGTAAATAATAATGTGAATGTGGCACATTGATGACAGAAGCTAAACTAGGTGTTTTGAGAGCTCATACATGGCAGCATGCGCAGCCTGTGCAGATAGAGCAGAGGGTGCAGGTAGCTGCAGATGGTTGCAGCTGCTAAAGATACGGCCACATACTGACACTTGAAGGTTTTATCAAGAACTTTTCCTTCAACCATCAAGGTGATGTTGAAGGGGGTGTAGCTGAGTGCGATTACAGCCTGGATGATAACAATGGTGATGAATGCTTTCTTCTTTATGGAATGAATCTCTCCTTTAACCTTTGGCTCACCACTCCTCACTTTCTTCACCTTCCCTCCTTCTTTACAGCTGTTGCTCTCTTGTTTTCCCTCCTCACTCACAACTGGACTGCTTTTGTGAGTCTCTACTTTCTCCTCCCCGCTTTTCTTTTTCTTCTTGTGCTCCATCATCTTCTTGTCCCCCGGCGGAGTTTTTTTTAATTTCTTGAGAACAAACAGGCTGCAGAAGAAGCCAGTGGCTACAACAGGGAGGAAAGCGGCGCATGCCTTGATGTTGGAGTGATGTGAAATAATAAATGCAACAGTGAGGATGTTAATGCACCACATGGCAACCAGACACCCCCATCTGTACTGATACCTCTTAAACCTGAAAAGCAAAAAAGAATGTCACATTGAATGAAAAATGTTTTTTACAGATTATCTTTTCAGAGGCCGTGTGAGGTCAGAAATATGAACAAGCAAGGTGCCAGTAACGATGCATATTTTTAAGGATTGAATGCTGACAATAAACATAATCAAAAAGTGCAATAAAGGGTCATTCCAGCCATTTATTATCGCAATCCCAGCTTTAAACTTACAAACTCTCAAAGACCTTTCTGTCAAACTGAAATGCTTTTTTTTTTTTTTTTACTCTTCCTCATTCATTCAGTGTTCATGTTTTTGAAGACGGGCGTTAACTGACTATTGTCGGTCTTGCCAATCAAAATCGACTTACAACACAGCCTGTAAACCTGATTTTATTTTTTGCTTTTTGACCCCTTCTTTTCTGGACTTGCCCAACAGAAGGTGGCATCAACATCCCTTCAATTCAAATGTATGAATGTCTCATTACAAAAACCTTTTGTGTGCTTTTACCGTAGATAGACAAGGGGTCGCACCACGGCCAGGTAGCTCTCCACACACACCAGACTTTGGAGAAGGGGCTTCATGAAAATTGCCGTTAAGTTCAGGGATAATGTCACAGTGAACACAATGCTACTCTGCCACAGAAAGCTATTGACCAAGAGTAGTGGCAGCATCATGTAGTAGGCAACCTGAGTGAGTGCCACGTGGAAGGGGAAGAAGTCTGCAGGGAGGACACCAGCCACCTTTGACCTTTCAATTGAATCAAGATTAAGAAAGCTGTCATATCATTTCATGGAGAGACAGGATGAAAAATGAAGTTTGAAAGAACTGGTTACAAAAAGGATACTGTATTCCAAAATGCCTGATTCAATTTAGAACATTTGTTTGGACAAATGAGCCGCACATGCTGAAATTACCTTTTCTTGAGGATGTGCCAGATGAGCCAGATGTTTAAAGGAACACCGAAAAGGAACTCAAAGCTGTAGGCAGTCATGAGGATGATGAGGCCTGTCGTACATCCACCAGTCATACACTCTGCCCAGTAATACTCTGCAGCTGAAGAGGGAGCGTTTACAGTGGTGCAGTTCATATTGCTGGAAAAAAAAAACAGGGAGTTGACAACATGTTTTGTTATAGCAAAACGGCCTGAAGATGCATTATTTGTGACCTACATTTTGTCTTTAAATCATAAAATGTACTAAAAAGTATCAGAAGCAAACCTTTCAGAGTGCAGAGAGAGTGGTGATCTGAAGGCAGCTTGTTTCGTGCCAAACATTTGTCCAGTGTTTGAGGGTTCATTTGAAATTGCTCCTGCTTTCATACACACTTTACATGAGGGATGTAGTGTAGATTTCCATAAAATATTACATGAACCATACGAATGCTGTGCCCACCACAAGGTTGTAGCACAAACATGTTTTTTGAGAGTCTGTTTTCCTCATTAAGTCAGAGAGACTTGATCACGGGAGTAGCCAGAAGAAATGGATAAATCTGCTGAAAGACACTCAATCCTGTAACCACTGATCTTGAATCACTGCATTTAAGCATTTAACTTGAATAATGTGTGTGTGTGTGTGTGTGTGTGTGTGTGTGTGTGTGTGTGTGTGTGTGTGTGTGAACTAGCTCTAAGCTAACTCTGGTACCATGCATCAAAAGGCAACATTTATGTTTAATATTGTACATGGTCCCACTACAAAAACAATAAGATAAAGATATAAAGATAAAGATAAATATATATAATATTATATTTATTATATATTATAAATATATAACATATAATATATATTAATATATATAATATATATTAATATATAATATATTATATTATATATATAGTATATATATATTTTTATATTATATATATTATATAAAAATATATAATTATATTTATATAAATAAATATTGAATATATATTGAAATAAAATATAAAATAAAATATATATAATAAATATTGAATAAAAAATTAGCTGTGTTACTATTTAAAAAGCATGAATAAGATAATTGGTTATGCCTAATAAGGTTAACCTTTTTAACTTCTTTTTAAGTGAAACGTGTACTTGGTCCATACAGTTTTCATTTACCGGTTATTCATTTCATTATTCCTCGATCATTCTCTTGTTTGGATTCCAGCTACATGGCTATAAATGTGAAATTGGTAACAGGCGCTTTTGAACGCAACTTTCGCAAATATGCAGAATGCAGGCCTCTGATTGGTTTGCGCCTTGTCATCCTGAGTCTTCAATGAGCTCGGTATACAACCAGCATATTCTGCATGGGCGGAGCTATACCTCTCTGCAGACTCCGCCCGTACAGACACTGGCAGAAAACTAAAACAAGCGCTCCCAATCTGTTTTCCAAGACGTTGCGCGGAGTTTATATTTTCGTACACATTTCAGTGGCGGGAGATGTTTGACTGAGCAAGACTGACACGATATCGTTTGTTTTTAATGTTGGAAACAGTGCCACAATTGAAGGTTGACACACACAGATAGCAGATAGCGTGGGGGAACAAGTCACGATGGATGATTTCGGCGTTTTTGCGGTTTTTGGAGTAAACGGTCCTGCTCAAAGGTTGCTGAGGTAATTTGATTTAACGATGGATATTTTAACAGTGTCAGCAGTTTTTTTTTTCCTCTAGAAATATTCTGTCTAGCTGCCTCAGTTTTAGTCCAATAGCCTCTCAAGTGTTTTCCTTTACAAAGTTAACGCCAGGTAAACACCAGTACATGTAAAAAAAAACTTTTTTTATACGCTCCTGAATGGCGCCTTTTGATGTAAGCGTTGTCATCAGAGGACCCGTATGTTAAGCTTCTTGTTCAGATAGCCACTCTGTTATCTCATGCCTTGTTTTTCCTGAATATGATAGGAAAACAATGTTACCGCCTTCCTTATTTATTTTTTTTGGGGGATATTTTCCTTTTTTAAGTGGCGACGGTTCGTCTCGAGTTGCTGTTGCAGTTCCCCCGAGTGTCCGCCAGGTGGTGCTGTTCAGCAGCGGGCCGTGGGGGGAAAGGATCTGCGTCAACGCGGAGCTCAACGACGCCGACAGGATGCCCATAACCATTGGGAAGATAACCCCATATAACAAGTAGGCAATTATCATTTTAAATCAGGTGCATGTGATGAGATCTGACTGCTTCTTTTATTTGTAAAAGTTTGTTGTGTTGGGATAATTATTATGCACCCACTGCCTATGACTCACCTCCATGTGTTTATAGATAACATGATGTAATGAATTAACTCAGTAAACCGTGTTGTGACCCCCCCCCCCCCCCAGGTGCCTGTCATGGGAGCAGTGGGAAGAGGAGACATGGACTGGCAGTGTTATACTGAATGTCACCCTGGAAAGAGGAAGCCTGGTAAATATTGGTTTTTAATCTACGAGATGGGTTCATTTCTTTTCATCTCAATTAGAAGACAGTCATTTTTGGGAAATGTTCAACAGAACGTGCTTGCGCTTTTTTTTCCCCCAGTGTGTCCTGAATGAATGAGGGTGAAATGGTATTCACAAATGTTGTGTTTGTTTTTCTTTTCTCAGGAAAAATCGGATTGGTCAGAGCCGGAGCTCGTCCTGGCCGTGACAGAATACACCCCAAAGGTAATTTATGTGGATTATATTTTCGGTGCTCGGTAGTTTGAGTTAGAAATGAGTCACGCGAGGACGTCAACGTTTCAGACGCTCACGTTGTATCTGCTTGTCAGGAGGCTTGAGACTCTCTGCCTGTTGTTAGGTTGAGACAGCATTCCCAGCATGGCGACCGCCATTGATGTCTTCCAAAGCCTCATGGAATAACAGATGGGCGACTCAACTCGTCCATTAATATTTAGAGTCTATGGTTTTGACCTTGTAGAAAGTAATACATAAACACATCACCATTGTGATACTTTGAATGTAGTTTAGCTTCAGGCAAGCAGAGGAGGATGTGTGTTAACAGGTGGTTATTATTTCTATGCTACGTATTGATAGAGATGTGTGTGTTTTAAAAACCTTTAATGCATTTGAGTTAACAGAGGTTAGTGTTCGGGTTTATGTTGATTCAAAAAGTGCGGGAGTAAGTGGTCACATGTTAGTACACTTTACTACATTTTCCCAAGATGCCCCCTCACTAACGGAGCGAACAATAACGAGAACGCTTTGCATTTGAAATCGAAAGTATCATGTCCTCCTCAAGGCCCAATGGGTTTGTGTCGCAGCATTGCATTCTGGTCTTTTTTTGAGGCTAATCTCGGGGCGATATTGGCTGATCCTGTTTGCCTACGATCATGAGATTGCGTTATACATTATTAATAGAATCTTTCCAAACTGTTTATGCTTTAAATCATATTTCAAACAGATCAATACATGAAGCTGTTTGCTGAATGATTAATGACAAGGACAGCTTTGTCCCTCGCAGGACACTGTGCTCCCCTTACAGCTCGGGAGCTCAACGGCAAGAGGAAGAGAGAACATGCGACCGAGGGAGACGGTGACGAGAACAAACCGACCAAGCGAGGGGAAGAGGAGAACGTGTGTCCAAATGGGGGCGCGGCGGAAAGGGCCACGCCTGTGCGGAAGGGTAGGGTGCAAAACAAGGGCGGGCAGAAGCTGTTCAGCAGTGGAGGAGATGCGACAAAGGCCAAGGGAACAGGTGAGGGAAGCCAGCGTCCAGTTTACAATGATGTGTGACTTTTTTTTCAAGATGAGGAGTGATTTAATGAATAAATGTGTTCGGTAAAAGTGTGTTTTCAAAGAGCATTTCTGTTGTGTTTGTGAGTTTCTTGTGTTCTGCTTCTTGAAAATCTCCTTCTCTCTCTCTCTCTCTCCTCTCAACAGCTAATGTAGCAGGAGAGGCGCAGGGGATTGTGGGAAGAACGCCTCCTCAGAGTGCAGCCAGGACAAAGAGTAGGCAGGCCAAGACTCCCACACAAACTAGTGAGTTTGTGCATACACATACGAGACGTTTTCAGATGTTGTTTTTTTTTTCATATTCTTTTGTAATATTGATTTACTTTTCAGTCCCATGGCGAGCACCTAGATGTACCTCGCCCTGCCTGAGTTCACAGAATATTATTTTCTCATGTCTTCCTGCAGCCCCGTTGGTCAGCCCGTCAGGTCGCTGGGGTCAGTCTCTGTGTGCTATTGATGCTCAGACAGCTATTCTGATCGGAGGGCAGGGCGCCAGGATGCAGTTCTGCAAAGATCCCATGTGGAAGCTCTGCACAGGTAAGTTCGGAATCTAGTTTTGAGTGAATCTGGTTTCGAGTTTTCTTCTGGACCCAGTGTCAGCGTGAGTGTTCTTGTCTCCATCCCTCAGAGGACAAGTCCTGGGTTGCAGCTGAGACTCTGGCAGAGGGTCCGACGCCAGAGGCCAGAATCGGACACACGGCCATCTACGACCCAGACTCCCGGCGGATTTTCGTCTTCGGGGGCTCCAAGAACAGGAAGTGGTTCAATGACGTTCACATTCTGGACACACAGAGCTGGAAGTGGACCATGGTGGAGGTGTGTAGGCCTTTTTCTTTTCTTTTTTTTTTTCTTCCCCCCCATTATGCTCCTTGTCCACTTTCCTCATGTCCCCCCCCCCGTGTCCCCCAGGCTCAAGGTAAGGTTCCTCCTCTGGCCTACCACAGCTGCAGTATGTTCCGAGGGGAGCTGTTTGTGCTCGGTGGGGTGTTCCCCTGCCCTAACCCGGAGCCCGACGGCTGCAGTGACTCTCTGTACATCTTCGACCCAAACCTCTCCATTTGGTACCAGCCGATTGTAACCGGAGACATGCCCTCCCCTCGCTCAGGGTACGGTGGTTTGATTTAAAAAAAAAAAAACACCCCTTTGTGTTGTTTCTTAACACACATCTAAACACTCTCAATCTCTCCTCGTATGCTCCTTTCAGTCATTCCGCGTGTGTGATGCAGGAGAGGAAGATCTACGTGTTTGGAGGATGGGATACTCCTGTCTGCTACAATGACATGTACATGTTGGACCTGGGTAAGCCACACACTAGGGAGCACAGATAGGAACTCCTGGGCTGAATCTCGATGACCCCCTAAGCCTTAAACCCTTAAGGTCTTAATTGACGTCACCTGAAGAGTGACTGAGTGCACGAGGCTTAGAGGGCTCAAAATGGTTAAATAAGAATAGTACAGCACTTTGCGACTTCTCTGTAACCATGACAGCACAACGTCTTTTTTTTTTAAAGCTTCAACATTTGTTTCTCCTTTACTGTCCTTCCCCCCTTTTTTTTTTTCCTTTATTAAGGCGTTTGTTTACCTTACGGGCCTCCCCTGGGAATCCCATGTTCCACGTCACAATGCTAGGAACTATGGGTAATTCCCTCACGCTAAATCTGTAGATACACCCGCTTACAGAAAGGGTGCATAACGGACTCAAACAGTCTGCAAGAGATCCCTCACACACTTAATGATCAGTGACAGCCCTAAGCGTGAGGGGGCGGGGGGTATCGAGATGCTGTCACACACAACTGAAAAGAGGTGTTAATACATGGCATTGAATGCGTCACTGACATGAGATGTTTTTGTTTCACAGGGCTGATGGAGTTTTCTGTTGTTAAAACGACTGGGAAGGCCCCGTCCCCACGAAGGTACACAAACGCTGCACTCACATACACATGCATGCAGGTGTAGCTAACGCTGAACAGATGATGAAACACTGTAACCAGGAGCTGATCAGAGTCATTACCTTGTTTATTTATTTTTTTCTTGGATCAGATTCTAAGATGCAATTATATCATTATTGTTTTTTCCTTCCTTAACTTGATTGTGTTTGTGTGTTTCAGTTGGCATGGGAGTGCTGTGCTCTCCGACACAAAGTTCCTGGTACACGGAGGTTACAACGGAAACAATGCTCTCAGTGACACCTTCATCTTTGATATTGGTGAGAGACGCATATCACACCAACATAAGATTCAAGATTGTTAATTTGTCTTTTTATGTAAAATGAAAGAAAACAGTAGGGGAAAAACACATTTCATCATCCATACAAAAACACAGGGTCTTATAATCTTTATCATTTATTTTGAATAATAGAACTTGGCTACAAGATCAGGATGTACCTACCGTTATTAGCATCATTTATTTTGTCTGTTTCACTTCTTAAGACACAAACAGCTGGACAGAGGTGACGCTCCCTCAGCTTGCCGTCCCAAGGGCGGGGCACTCCATCGTCACCATGGAGATGGCTGAACACCCCCGTTTCTCAGGGGAGGATGAAGATGTGGACAAGAACACGGGACCGGTCAGCAGGACCTTGCTGGTGTTTGGAGGCGGAGACAACGAGGGGAACTTCTACTCGGACCTGACGACTGTCGCTGTGGAGGAACTGCTCGCTGCTTTTTAAAGAGAGAGTGAGACAAAGGTGAATCCTCACTCCCCGTCAGCATTGGAAGCTATTTAAACACCCCCAAAGACTCTTTATTATTTATATTTCTATCGTCTTGTTTTAGGCTATTAAATTTACTGTGGCAGCCTGAGCATGTGGGATTTACAATTTGGGTGTTGTTTTTTTTCTAATATAGACATCACGTCTGCATTTCAAGAATATGAAAGCTTCTTTTCTCGAAGAAACCTCTCAGTGTCTTCAGATTCAAACAAATAAAAACAAAGATTTTGTTTTGAGACATCAAATATGTTATGATATTTTAGTCATAAAGACCATTACCCAGTGTTTTATGTTCATGGTTTAAAGCTTTTGTAAAGATTTCCTCAGGTATAATCTTTACTTCTAGGATTGTCTTCACTTTTACTCTTACCTTAGACTTTCTTTTTTACTGATTGTTTCTAAAGAAAAAAACGCTTCTATTGCTGCAGGTTTATTGACTGAGTTACATCATGCTCCTATTTTGTCATTAACTCCAAACTGCTGATTGTGATCTCTAAAAAACCCTGTTCATGTTCCTTTTTTTGCACTTGGCTTCTGTCTTTTATGAATAAACTTTTTTGTTTTTCAATGCTGTCTTTAAGTCATTCACTTTTAAAATTCAACTTATCGCATTTCTGCAAAATTAACTAAGTGTGCAGATCTGTAGTGACAATAAACCCCAGTTGGACTTTAACAATGTCTACCATTTTCAGAAAAATTAACCCTTTATGAAGTACCTAAGAGATGCCATTTAATACAGAGTCCTGTTAATAACATCCCTGTTGGCCTAGAAACTCGGCTCTAACGTGTTAGTCCTGCAGAGTTCCACTGATGTTCTCTTCAAACAGTCAGCTACGTGGTGACATTTAAATCAAAGATTAGTGGAGCTAATAATAGTGTCATGACTGGGGCTGTTTTCAAGTGAAATATTTCAGTGAATGTTCTATTAACCTCTGCTACGAGATTGTCAGGCTGGGCATGTGTATAACTAGTGCATGAAGGAGGGACTACACCTAATGCGAGTGTAACGTAATATACTGTGGCATATGCCACTCATGCGGCATATGCCGCTGCGAATGAGTGGACCAAACGGCATATCGCGGCATATGCCATCAGTGTGCCCCAGCCTTTGTCACTCGTGGCACATGGGTGGACCAGAACGGCATGTCACGGCATATGCCATCAGTGTGCCCCAGCCTATGTCACTCATATGCGGCATATGTCGCGGCACATGAGTGAACTAGAATGCCATATGCCACTCATGCGGCACATGCATTTGCAGGCACATAAGCCCCTCATGCCACTCCTGTGTCGGTCTGAAGATGACACTAGGTTAAATCAACCTTTGTCAATGATAATGTCTTAAAATCAACATTCGAATTTGATACATCACTCCTAATTATAACTAAATGTAAACTTTAACCATCCCTAAACTGATTTTTGTCAAAACCAAACAGTCCGCCATAATTTTTTGTCTCAAAATGTCAAAAATAATGGCCCCAAATTTTGCATTTCACATGCTACCTATTTGAACATACTCCGTGGTCTCGCCACACCTCGACATGCACAGGGGTGCGAGGGCCCTGCATCACCGCTTGCGGTTTTAATTATTATTAAGTTTCCTACTCTGGTGTAATTGTTCAATAACTGCTCCACTTCCAAACGTTGTATAATAAATGATTCACTAAAATTGAAATCCCTGGTAACAGCTGGTTGGTTCATGCTCTAGTGCACTAAGATCATACATGTGACAACCAGATTTGGATGCTTTTTAATTGGTTGTCACAATAACCAAGATTTGCATTACTGCTAGAGAGTAAGTAGGGCCGGGTTAGATTCTTCTAGATGTGATCCGAAATGCAAAAAAGTCCCAAGGGACAGGCTGACAATGAAGAACCAACTGTCTGTTGATGATGTGTTTGGTTTGCCAGCCTGTTAAGAGAAAATGATTGGCTACACATTAAAAGAAATACAAAAAAACTGTTATTACTGCCTCTCTCTGGCTGATACATTTGGCACCCTGAAATAGGAGGCAGGAGATAAAAAAGGTGTGTATGTGTTTGAATGTTCATCCAGTAACACTTAAAATACCCTCAAATCAGCTTCAATTAACATTCTGCAGTTCAACCTCCTACTAAGAGTGTCCTTTCTACTTAGACACACAATGGAAGTATGGCTGCCAAGATCGCATTCTCATACAAATATTAATGGGACACACAGCAGGGACTTGTGTTAGGAAAGGCTGCGGGATTTTCAGATAGATAGATAGATAGATAGACAGATAGACAGATAGATAGATAGATAAACAGATAGATAGATAGATAGATAGATAGACAGATAGATAGATAGATAAACAGATAGATAGATTGATAGATAGATAGATAGACAGATAGATAGATAGATAGACAGATAGACAGATAGATAAACAGATAGATAGATAGATAGACAGATAGATAGATAGATAGATAGATAGATAGATAGACAGATAGATAGATCGATAGATAGATAGATAGATAGATAGACAGATAGATAAACAGATAGATAGATAGATAGACAGATAGATAGATAGATAGATAGATAGATAGACAGATAGATAGATAGATAGATAGATAGATAGATAGACAGCTAGATAGATCGATAGATAGATAGATACTGTAGATAGATAGATGGATAGATAGATATTACCCTGTAATATAACCTCTCATCCTGCAGATGGAGACACTTAAGCACATTTCCCCAAGCAACAACCCACTCATGTAAAATGTACAGCTCATGTAAAATCCCCCCCCCCCCCCCAAAGAAATACATTCAGTGAGTTCATGTAACTATTTACATGACAGGTTGAGATATTTTCTGTGATACTTTCTCCACAGATTCAGGTTACACAGGCCTGCAATGCATCTAACATCAGTCCTCAACATTCAACTGGACATGCTCCAAAAGCCTTAAAAGAGAGGGATATTCCCCCCAAATTAGTTTGGTTTGTTGTATATGGATATATTAGTTACAAGAAGGGCTGCAGTGATACATAAACAAGGCTGTTGACTATATAGATACAGTTTTTGTGTACTTAAAAATAGTGGTGTTCGGCTCCTGAGAACACTATCCATCATCCGGGATGGGATTTTCCCCTAGATTCATCTGGAAATCCTGCCAGTTGGATGCTTTCCCAGATATAAGTAATACGCCCCTTCATTTGCTGGTTTCTGTTTTATTTCCCCACTAACATCCTTGCATCGTATGAATATATATATGTTTTTTTAAAGTCTGCATAACTCCTGGTTGACAGAGTTCAGAAATCAGTACTTGCAATCATAGCTCTTCCTCACTCCATGGCTGTTGCTAAGTAACTTGAAAAATGTCTACAACAGCTGTCAGCATCTCGCAGTCGCACTTATAGGTACATATTTACAAATGACTCTTATTTTCACAGCTGCGATTGCAATCAGGAACCATAACTCCACCACGGTAACGTACAGTTTAGTCATTTGCTGCAACTACAGACAAATCTATGTAAAAACGGTGCATTGGGATAATAGGGTGAAAATATACAATCCACCAAATGTATTTAAAACCACAAAAAGACGGGGGAATCTTATTGAGCAATGAAAACATGAACCTTCACTGTCAGAAAAGATCATTTTAATTTACGTTACTTGGTGTGCAGTGGTCATATATGACACGACATATACCTTGGTTACTTGACCATGAAAGTTACCTTCACATCTGGTTCTGTTTTATTTGCACAGTTTGTTTTTCTGTCATATTTATCTTTAGTAACTTTGTATACCTTTATTGTTTTTTTAATCACTACATTTTCAATGTTCAAGGCATTATTGATTTAAGGTTTTTAAATTGTCTGAAGATGTCTGTGTAAGAATTAACGCAAAAAAACACAAGTTAGAAGTCCTCTGCTTTCTATGACATGACCTGTTTCAGATCAAATGTATGTCTGAAGTATATGATGTGTAGAGGTGAGTGTGCATCAGGTTAAAGGTTAAAGGGGATTTAACTTCCTTGTGGAAATATCTGGCAGCACCTATAGGCACCTTACATTTGACACCTGCAGAGCTTTGAGAAAGTGTAGGATAAATGGGAAATGAACTTTCTAGTCTTCTGACAACTCAAAGTGCTTTTTACACAGCAGGTCACACTTACCCATTCACACACTGATAGCAGAGGCTGCTATGTAAAGTGTCCATCAGTGTTAAATAATCACATTCATACACATTCTCAAGCAGCAGGAGCAATTTTGGAATCAACGTCTTGTCTTGTAAAAGGAGGATGTGTGTATAAAAATGTGAGTATGAGCTTTGTCATAAGGTTGTTGATAAGGATTGTTTTCTCCCAAGAAATACACCTATTGGTTCCTGTAATATATCTGTGGAGCCCATTTCCGCCAGTAAAAAAAAAAAAAAATGAAAATAATAAAGTCTCATAATTTCTACTTTTTATCTTATTATGACTTTATTATTTTTTTTACTGGCAGAAATGGGCTTCCATATATCGTCCTGACCTTGTCTGTTTTTTTTGTGCCTCATTTGTATATCACCAGCTTGTCACTTTATTGCACCTAATAAAAAAATAAAATTAAAAAAACTACACACAAGCATCTGCCATTTGCCGACACCACCAGTTAAATCTCAGAATTTCGATTTTTTTAGCTCATAATTTCAACTTTAAATCTCATAATTTCAACTTTTTATCTCATTATTTTGACGTTTTATCTCATTATTATGACTTTATTATTTTCATTTTTATTTTTTTTTACTGGCGGAAATGGGCTTCCATATATCGTCCTGACCTTGTCTGTTTTTTTGTTTTTTTTTGTGCCTCATTTGTATATCACCAGTTTGTCACTTTATTTCACCTAATAAAAAAATAAAATAAAAAAAACTACACACAAGCACCTGCCATTTGCCAACACCACCAGTTAAATCTCATAATTTCAACTTTATATCTCATAATTTTGACTACATTATCTCATTATTTTGACTACATTATCTCATTATTTTGACTTTTTATCTCATTATTTTGACTTTTTAACTCATTATTATGACTTTATTATTTTCATTTTTTTAACTGGCGGAAATGGGCTTCCATATATCGTCCTGACCTTGTCTGTTTTTTTTTGTGCCTCATTTGTATATCACAAGTTTGTCACTTTATTGCACCTAATAATAAAAAAACTACACACAAGCACCTGCCATTTGCCGACACTACCAGTTAAATCTCATAATTTCGATTTTTTAATCTCATAATTTTGACTTTTTATCTCATTATTTTGACTTATCTCATTATTATGACTTTTTATCTCATTATGACGACTTTATATCTCATTATGATGACTTTATATCTCATACTTTCGACTTTTTATCTCATTATTATGACTTTATTATTTTCATTTTTTAAACTGGCGGAAATGGGCTTCCATATATTGTCCTGACCTTGTCTGTTTTTTTTTTTTTGTGCCTCATTTGTATATCACCAGCTTGTCACGTTATTGCACCTAATAATAATTTTTTTTTTTTTTAAACTACACACAAGCACCTGCCATTTGCCGACACCACCAGTTTAAAACCCACGGAAAAACCCGAGTAAACCCGAACACCAGCCCAAACTCCCCTCCCTCCCAAAATCTTCTCTGTCTGTCTGTCGTGGTGCAAGCAGCCATGTTGCTGCGAGCTTGTTCCGGTATCAGGGCAGGATCGTGCGCATAGACTGCAATTCGGGCGCAGCTCTCTCTCCCTCTCTCCCTCTCTCTCTCTCTCTCTCTCCCCCCTCTCTCTCTCTCTCTCTTGTCGCCCGTCACACACACCTCGCATCAAGACAACCGATCATGGATTTTACAACCTGATGAACCCTTTTGGAATCGACTGGCCATAGGGGGGGGGAACAACAACAGGACGAGCTGGTTTATCGCCACACTGCACTGCAGCACTGCTGAACGACCTTTTATTCCAATCACGCATCAACAAGGAAAAAAAAAAAAACAGCGACCGGTGATTTCCGTGGATTTTTTTGTTGAGTTTCTGAGTGCTGCGGCCGGAGAGGACGGATAAAGCTAACTAGCTTTTTTTTTCTTGTTACCGAAAAAGAAACACGGAATTACCTACCCCAGCTTGCATTGGCGTCAAATTAATCCGTCATGTGACAATTCAACGTGGTGCTTATTTTGTGTTTTTCTTTTTTTTTTTTTTTATAAAAAAAAGGATACCTTCAGTGTGAGTTTCTGTTGTGTGCATTTGGGGAAGAAGGTCGAGACCTCGCCGGGAATAAACTTTGGCCTGAAAGTTTGTCCACTCACAAACCCCCCCTTTTTTTTTTTTTTTGCTCCTGAATCGAAAAGGAAGTATCTTTAATGACAACATTTTGACAAAACGACGTCGACTGCTTCGTGAAAACGACCCTGGAAAACATCTGTTTTTTTTTTTGTTTTTGTTTTTTTTAAAGATTTCTTTTGACAGCCGTAGTTTTTATTAGCAGCCACTTATAGGTTAGCATGCTAATTGAACCAACACAGCCCAACTTTTCCTGAAGCTTTCCAAAACGTCACAGCGTCAGGCCTTGGTCGCTTTCTAGTCTACCTTCGACGCTGCTAATCGGTGATTTTAGGCCTGCATGTTTTCACACTCGCACCTAAAAGCTGAACGACAAATTAGCCCCTTTTTTTTGTTTACATGCTTGTTGACAAACATGGGACGTGCGGCTGCTGCTAGCTTAGTTTGCAGCTAGCTGGCTAAACTCCGCTAGCCCGCCGATGTGGGGATTCAACTTGTTGATTCACGGGCTCTCCTGCTAGCTGGCTAGCACTTGGCATTTTTGTTGTCTCATCATCTAGACAGATTTTTTTTAAATGCACAAAAGACACTGAAGAATCGTCCTATTCACACAGGTCCCTTTCCCCCCTCCTCCCCCCCACACACACCTTTAATTGGAAACTTGAACTTTTTTCTAAAATGTCAACAAGGATCCCTCTGGTGCAAGTCATAGAGAATTCAACCGGGCAGGTAAGATGCAAGATTATTCTGCACAATAAAACCCCCCCACCTTCAAGACTTTACACTTTGCAAAGGGATTGTTATGTGCTGTGGAGAAGGGCCCAGGTTGGCCTTCGTGAGTCTCTGCTTTTCTCTCTGTCTCTGTTGTCTTTGCCACACAGCAGTGATTCACCAGCTTGCCTACGCACTCACACTGGATTTCCCACTCCTTGCAGAATAAGAAGAACACATTTTAGGTGTCTGTTTAGTCTGTGTGTCAGGGCATGTCCTCCTACTTTGACTTTTCCCTTACTTTTTACCTGTCCTGTTAAAGACAAACCAGTTCCATATTTCTAAATACTTTGAGAGTAAATGAAGACTGGCCCCCTCACAGTGGATTATCATCTCATATTTCACCCTGACACATTTCATTTGACAGCTTAGTGAATACACTCAACAATCAAGTTATGTTTGTTACAGTTTAAAAAAGTCTTTCCCAAGTCAAGTCAAGTCAAGTCAAGTCAGCTTTATTTACATAGCACATTTATAACAGCCGAGGCATACAGTAAATTAGGCAACAATACATTACATCCAAAACATCATAAAGACACTTAAAAGCAAAAAATTTAAACACAAAACAATAGTAAAAGTTCTAGTAGACACAGCTGCTGGGATAAAACACTCAACTAGAGGTAAAAGCCAAGTAAGTGTTTTAAAAGAGAGTATGGCTAACTTTAGTTGCAGAATTGAGGTGTTATATGATTAAAACATTATAATAATTTTTGAATTGTAAAATTCTAAAGGATCTGTAATAAAACAGAACTGGCCACAGGAAAGGTTAAGGAGATTAACAAATGAATTGTGTGGTCCAGGGCACCGCTGAAACACAAATAGATTGAATTTGTAATATTGTCACAATTTTGATCCCAGACTTTTCATTTGAAATTATTTGGGCTCTGTACATGTGGGATGACTGAAGACACTTTCAAACAGTACACATCCTCTTTTGACCTAAAACTACTGACCTTTACACTCAGGCCTGAGGGCTCATGAACACTCGAGGAGTCTTAATTCATTTAAACACCCGTCAAAGCAAAGAGTTCAGAAGCCAGAGTTACAAAAGATTTAATGTTTCCTGTTTTCATTCATGTTGGTAGTAAAACAGTTTGTCAGTGTACTTAAAAGTTTAAAAGACAAAGAAACAACCGGCAAGTGCTCATTATTAGACATCTGGAACAAAACCCATTGCTTTCAAGACTGCAATATGTTTCTTAATCTTGTAGACAGTTTGATCTCTACACTCTTTGTAATTATGAAAGCCACAAAAGCCCACATTATAGTTTCCAATACAGACCATGACTAGCCTTACTTTGACAAGCTTGATGGAATAGATAGGTGGAAGTTTTGGGTGTCTACATGTAACAGGGTGGCCAGTGTATGATGTCAGGACGTGTGTGCTCGACCTGTTTCTATATTTGTGTTGCTTGAGTAACTACAGTAATGTGAAAGTAGTTGTGGTGAGTCTTGGTGTGAAAGATAGTTTTAAGAAGTTGGTCTGTAGCTTTGAAGAGCAAAGCAGCATAAACAAATTCACACACATAAAGACACATTTGATAATACCTTTAAAAAAAAGTGAATGCCCAGTCAAGGGTTATTACAGACATGTAAAATGGTTGATTAAAGTAGCACATTTAAATGTTGTCTATACTGCTGCAGCCTTAACCAAACTGTGTTGTAGTTGATACATTAAAAGCCCAACCCTTGTGTGTAAAGTGCAGCTGCACATTAAACCAGACCTTAGACCTGCTCTTAACAGCCAATTGGGAAGACTCTTGGTGTTGGACACTCAAAGGTTAAAAGATTTAGTTTATCTTCGCTCGTTGTACGAACAAAATGCTGACGGAAGTTGTGTGTTGATACCATGTTCTCACTGCATGTGATGTGTGTGTGTGTGTGTGTGTGTGTTGGGCTTGTCTCACACAACGGATCACTGCTTCCGTAAAACTTAACAAGAAAGTAGATCGTCAGCTACATTTGTGTGAAGGTAAACTGACGCGAGTGACGAATGCATACTCTTGCATGGATAACACACCCATACCTGCAACAGAGGTCATAAACGGTATAGTTGATGATTACATAAGTCTCTGACTTTTACAGCCACTCACATACCAGTCAGTTTTAACCTGTTATAAGCACACTCCTCATTGTTTTTAATTTGACAATTTTTGGCTTTCCAAAGGACCAAACAAACAAAAAAAATAGTCAAATTTTTGCTGTGTACAACATTATTGAACAACACCTTGTGCTGGCCAGTCATGAACTGGAAAACATCCACATAAGTAGATCCACAACTTTGTAGTGTTCAGCTTTGTTCAACAAGCTATAAGAAGACTGAGGGGATTGTGTCATAATGCTTAAAAGTTGAACACTCAGGCTCGAAAAGAGTATAAAACCAAAGTACATTACCTTGGTAATAAATAACACTCAAACTAAACTTCCGGGTATGCCCTACCCTGTACCAATACAGCCCCATGTGGTGTTATGCTGTAGTACCATTTTGGGCCAGAAAGAACCCTTATAAATCCTGTGGCACCTAGTTAGGATTTGGGGGTGAAAGAAGAACATTTTGGGGGTCATGGCAAGTCCTTAACTGGGTTTGTAGGCAAAGGGTCACAGATGGATACTCCCACACACACAAACGGTCTGTTTTAAAGTCCATGTATAGAAAGCCCCTGGTGTCGGGTCTCAAGATACAGGACAAAATGGCACCGGACACGAAAGCAGGCTCAGTGTTGACATGACTGTCTCTGTTTCTGTCAGGTACTCCAAATGTATATTTTGACATGGTTGAATGTGCCTCTTCTGAAAGCAGATACTCTTCACAAAACGTAATGTTGGAGCTGCACGAGGACTGATTTCCTAGAATGGAGAGGCAGTTTATTTGAATGTTTCACGTTTTGGTAGCCTAATGGAGATTTACTTGACCGGGGATGGAAAGTTTGAATGGCAAACCAAGCTGCAAGTTAATGTTTTTAAGTGTCAGCAGGGGTCTGTGCAGTGAAAGTTACCCATCCAGGCTCGTGCTGGATTGCTGTTAAAGAGAGAAGTGACTTGTGACATCTTCCTAACGGTTTTAACAGCAGATACACTGAGTAGCAATAAACCAACATGTTGCCATGTTACACAAGGGTTTTTATCTGGCTTTAAAGTTTGAGGAACTTAATGTCATTTAACAATTACCCTAATGGCACACCAGTTGAACTTTTAATTTGTACACAATACATTGTTAAATAATGGCAATTTAAAATACAATTATTTAATACATTTTGTCTCTGAAACTATTTTAGCAACAAGGATGGGACCCTAACCCTAAACTATTATTTTAATAGATAAGTCGCAAATGGGTAACTTGTTTTGTCAACCTGTTAGCTGCAGGTTTGCTCTCTTAGTCCACTTCCCCAGCATGATCTCTTTATTGTCTGATTTCCTGTTTTACTATGTTCCTTCTCTATTCATTGAGCCACTTGTGAAAAGATAGACTGATGCAGCCAGAAATACTGGTCTGCCTTTTCAATTGTTACTTCATCCTCCATGTCATTGTTTGGCTAGCATAGTATAACTGCACGCCAGCTTAGCAAACTGGGTCCTCCTCATATGGACCAGTGATGTGTTTGAACCATTCATTTGTCTGAGTTATTGAAGAGTTACTGTCTATAAAACTTTGAACAGACGTAATCACATTTAGGACTTGTTTTCATGTTTGCATTAGGGTTATAATTGTAGTCTGTCCGGGCCAAAAGGAAATAAACTAAGGCACAAGGAAATTAAACATAAACAGTGACGGTGATAGTTTTCAATTTCAATGGTCCAAAATATCCTCAGTGGGTAATTTGAGTGGCCCCACCACCCACCCACCCACCATTCATGTTTTTTCTGGATGTGCAGTATATAGTAGTATACAGGGCTTTCCAAAGCCATAAGGAGTATTCAGCCAGTAAGGAAAAGTAGCCAGCTAGGAGGTGAGCAAAATGTTGTTCATAAAAGCTCACACTTTGGGGGCTTCTGGTACATTTCAATGCCTCTATTCTATCATGTACAATGATAATTATTACATATATTGTGGTGTTATAACCACACCTAACACTCCACACAAACACAAAAGTAACATGTTGCTGACTGATAGATTACACTCAATTATGAGTGTTTCTTAGCCGTTGCCCTTACATGTTGCTCGATGTGCTGATGCAGTGTGAAATGTGGAATTAAGCGGGACTAAAATAAGTTGCATTTTGGATGCATCAATGCAGAGTTTGCTGTGTCCTTTTGGATATTTTTGCGTAAAGATGGGTATCGAGAACCAGTCTTTTTTTGGTATCTGTATGAGATTGGTTAGTAGCGAAAGTACTGGACACCTTGTTGCTCCTAACAGTATTAACATCAACATTACATCTGAATTAACAATCAGGGCTCTCCATAAGATCCAGTGTTTAATCGAGATATGCTAACAATCGGCTCTCTGCGAATTTGTGCAAAGCCTTAATCCTGGTTCTGCAGCTAAATCAAACTCAGCAAAGTTTTTATACGTGACTGTTGGGTATAAACATTTACCAGTCATGTGGCTGATATCCCTTTGAAACTTACTGGCGCTTGGCGGGTATGGATTGCGGACCCTGAGTGTAATATAAAGTTGTTCAGTACTGTGAGCATTATTTCATAGGAGATATCTTCTGCCTTGATTTGTGTTACGGAAGTTTTTTTTCTCCAGACCAAGTAGCACAACTCAACAGAACACCAGCTGTCGGCCAAATAACAAAGTAGTCAATTACTGTAAGTAGTCTCTTGTTGATTCCAATAAATATTTTGGACTAACAAGTTGTGACTTAGGCTTAATCAGCAGAATGTCACAGAGCTTTTGTAACCAGAGAAGCTACACAATAAAAAGTTGCCTTTCAACATTTTTTCCCAACATGTCTTTTATTTTTTGCACCAAATCATAGAGAAGTGTAGATAAGAGTGTTGATAGAATTTCC